ATAAAAAAAAAAAAAAAATCTAAGCGCAAATCAGACTCTCCATTGAAAAAAAAAGAAAAAACTACAACACAAAGTATCAAAACCAATGTCCATGCCTGCAACCGGTGGTCAGAGACACATATTTGAAAGATACTTAGTATTTTTTAAATTATATTTTTGAGCATACTTGTTATGAATGAAATATGTATACATTTGCAGATCCGGACGCACCGAGCCGCACAGATCCAAAAGCTCGCGAGTTCCTCCACTGGCTGGTGGTGAACATCCCAGGCAGCGATATAGGCCGCGGCGACACCATGGCCGCTTACGTAGGCTCGGGTCCACCCAAGGGCACCGGCTTCCACCGCTACGTGATAATCGTGTACGAGCAACCTCGTGGCAAAATCGACGTGTCCTCGGATAAACGTATACCGAACAACACGCGCGACGGTAGGCCCAAATTTTCCGTGCAGAGGTACGCGGACGAACATTATTTCGGACCGCCCGTCGCTGCTAACATGTACCAGGCCCAATGGGATGATCACGTCATCAATGTTCACCGGCAACTCAGCACCATACAATCTTTCAACGTTTGAAGCTTTTCCTTTTTTTTTACCATTTTTTACCACGCAATTCTGTCATTTGTCTTTGTTTCGGTAGTTCAAGCTTACTTTTTTTACTGTATTTAAATAATTATAAAATTTCGTCACTCCCAATAAACGTTTGTATACTAATACGAATGCAAACAAATAAATATGTATATGCTCAAATGAAATGTATATTCATTCAAATCGTATAATATTCATTTAAATCGAATAAACAAAAACCTTTTTTCAAAGTATTATTTGATAGATGTATGTAAATATTCATTTTGTTCAAATAATTATTTTAAAAAAATTTTTTTACGAATAAATGTTTATTTAAATTGATGAAACTTTTTTTTTTAACGTATACGTATACTTAGTAATTCATACTAATAATCGCGTTGTGAAAAATTATTCGGTAGAAGTTGATGCTTGCAATATTATTCACAGATGTAACCAATTGATGCATTGATATTTGTACTATATTTAAAAAAAGGACAAATGATGATACGTATGGTATTTTTTTTATTCATCTTTTCCAGAATTTTTTTCAAATGCGTACAACGATAAATATTTATGAAGCGTCTACGATGATGACTTTACAAAATAGTGTAAAAAATAAATTAAAAAGAGTTTTCGTTTGACGTAAAACTAAATTAATTGTACATGAATCATATTATAATGTCAGATTTATACACCCAAAGTCACGAAATGTGAACAACATACAACCCAAAGCTCGGAAGTAATTACTACGTAATTATTGTGTACTTTAATTACTATTTTAAAATAATAATAAATCTACGGCCACGATTTTTTTTTTTTTTTTTTTTCCCGCCTGATGGTACAATAAATTATGTACAGTTGAGGTGTCAGAGACGTTATTAATTTTAATTACATCCTTTTTCAAAAATCATTACACAACTGTAAGTTTATACCGTACAGTACTGTGTAGACAAGAAGTATTATTGTATGAATGCACTTACTGATTCACGGATAGCATCCTGCCGTGGAGTCGACAAAGTGTAATGGCTCACTTCCTCCAGCGCACGACTTTCGTGCACATTCGTGTGTATTACTCTTCCAGAGTCCATATACTTAGTACACACACAACAGAATTATCATACATGTTATACATATATTTTCGATTCATCGAAATGCCCTGAGATTAACACCAGCGACGCAAATAGATTCAAATCTAGGCTTGGATATGATAAAAAAAAATTACTTGAGGGCTTGAGATATGACGGGTTTTGAGGATAAATTTTTCAAAAATTGTCCTTTCAACTCACGAACTTTTTTCATGACATTTTGGAAGTGCCAAGTTTTTTTCACAAAAAATTTCTTGAACGCTTCTAGACACGCGGAATGAACGTACATGTACTTCAATGTGTATATGTATATATGCGTTTATATATTAACACTTTGGAAATGCTCTGCAAATAAAATGTGCAAAGTGTTTGTTCATCAAAGATAATGAAGAGGAACAACGAAGTACAAGTTGAGACGAGGGCAATAATCATTTCTAGATGTTCGGCGTCTCATCCGTGATGTACCAGAGCAAACACGAATTATGAAGGAAAATATTATCTTCCGATTCAAGCAGGATGTCGAAAGGAAAACGTCACTCTTGACATAATCGATCCGCGATTCATAAAAGTTTTGTTCGCAACGAAAACTGAGACTAGTGTGCCTTTGGCCTGTGACGCGATGAGATTTATCGTAGGTAAGCCATTCCCGTAGACAATTTCTTTCAACCCTTTATTTACTTTTTTACTCTTTTACTGTGAAGATAAAATCACTATTTGTACAGCATAAATTATTATTATTATTATTATTACAGCATAAAATTAATTATTAATTTTCATGCTACGCAACAAGGAGTTGACTGTTAATTTTTGGATTATTGACAAAAGTCAATAATTGAATGTAAAATATTCTAGGAATATTCGTTTGCACATTGAGTATTGCTGCAGCAGATGTGGCATCGGACTTTATAAGCGAAGAAATAGTACCAGACGCTCTAGACACCGCACCGAATCAACTAATATCGGTAGTCTATTTTTATCGTATAGATTTTTAGCTACCATACCAAAGTCTTACAAGTAGCATTTTTTTTTTTTTTTTTAATATTTGTTAGAAAATTGTTTCCATAATTTATTAAACTATTTTTTTAACTAAATTACACTAACGAGCCATACATTATTGATGTCATATTTTTTTTGCTCAGTATCAACTCTTTAATGATCCATACATTTTTGCACTGTTTTAAATGATGACTAGTATCAACAAAATTAAATACCATCAACGTGGTACAGACTTACAGCAAGACTCGTATTATACATAATTATGTGTATATTGTCACATTACACAGTTTAGCAACGAAGATCAACTGACGTACTAACTTAAAGTTAGATTTGTAAAATTGATTAAAATAATAATGCGCAGTTTAGTATGAATGAAAAAAATAAATAAGTAATAGCAACGTTGAAGCTTGCCTACAAAGGTAAGGCCGTGAAATTCGGAGAGGAGCTGCTGCCCACCGACGTGATAGAACAACCAACCCTCGAATGGAATGTCGCGGATCCATCGAGTTATTACACCCTGATAATGACAAGTAAGTACAGCATAATTATATTATTTACATCGCTCACCTGTACATATGAATATGTTGTAATCGATAAATGATGATGTATGTAACCAGACATCGACCCCTCGAGTCGCCAAAAGCCAATATACCGCGAATTCCTGCACTGGCTGGTGGTCAACGTTCCAGGGGACGACGTGTCCAAGGGGGAAACGATCGCCGAGTACGTCGGAGCCGGACCACCGAAGAACGGCGGTGTCCACCGCATGTTATTCACCGTGTACAAGCAACCGGATAAATTGACATTTACCGAGGCTTTCATGCACAATCGGCAGTTGGGAATCCGGTTGAGGTTCAGTCAGAAGAACTACAGCGATAAGTACAATCTTGGGGATCCGGTCGCTGGTATGATGTACACCTCGAGGTACGACGACTACGTGCCCCAGCTGCACTCGGAATTCATGAAAGGTGTTAGAGTCTAAGTATATTTGCATCGATCATCCTTTTGGTTGGTTTGTTTTTCTTTCATTTGTTTGTGGTCAACTGTATACTTACGCTTTGAAACTACGGGCGTGGGTGCTGCTTTGATTTTTTTTTCCTTAAAGTGTATAATACATTCGCTATTTATGTAACTGATTGCTCGACTATGTTTTCTCGAGCAAAAACAATGCATGGCAAGTTGAAAGATTAAGGAATCAGAACAAAAGAGGAATGATGATTTAAAGCGCCTGAAAAAGTGTCTAAACATTGTATTTTCAATACTTTACAATTGTAGTTTAAAATATATCTTTTGTTAATTTTTTCTCAGTGTTATATTGTGAATGGTGATGAATGAAAAAATTTTTTCACCAAAGAGAATGCACATTGTTCATGAAAAAAATTGTTCTTATAATCTTGAATATAACCATTAAAATAATTTTGCTCTCATCTGTACGCACATTTGTTTCAATAGTTGGGAATTTTGGCTTTTTTTGGACACTACTGCTTCCAAAATAAATTTTTTATTTGTCAAAGTGTGTCAAGTTAAACGAACAAATTTCTCTACGCAGTGTGGATATTACGTTTGAAAATTGTCAAAAAAACATTCACATATTTATTTTGATGTAAAGATTTGCACGGGTAAGATGTAGTGCGTACACTTTTACAAAAAATGAGCGAAAAAATTTTGTTTTCTTCAAGTAGTATGGTATGCTTATAAGGGATGATAAAATAAATAAAGAAAAAATATTTTTAAGCAATTATAAAAGTAGGCGCAATGATGACGATCACATAAAACGCGTTTAACGTAACTAGTTTACTTAAAATTGCTCATACTGGTAGTGCCATTAGTAATAATTTTATTACGTTGTACTCTAAATTCGAAACCTCTCCTCTGCAATCAGAGTAAGGAATGTAAAAATATTTGTAACTAAAAAACATGAAAAACTATTATTTCCTCGTTAATTTATGTACTCGAATATTGCTTTTGCCATTATGTTGACTGATTTATTTCAAACGTCTGAAACGGCAAAAAGTAGAACAGAATGTGGTACTTACAAAGGTAACACGTTAATAAATTTTACTTTAAACGCAATTTTTTATCATTTGCAATTTCTATCAATTTTTTGATCAACATTTGCTAGCATGAATCTAAATTATAAGATACCCCTCATGATTTTTTAAAAATCTGTCCCACAATAAATTTTTTCATTAAAAAAAGTTTGTATAAATAGATTTTATTGTTTGGGATAAGTGTGATACATCCATAATTTTTACAATTTTATTATATTTTTTAAAATCACGTGCGTTTGAAAATATCACATTTTTGTTGGCAAGGTCACAAGTGACGATACCAGTACACGGTATTTTTTATCAACGGTCGGTACATGCACGGTGTTCTTTATCGACAAGGTGCGACCAAAATAAGGTGAACGCGCAAACACACACCAACTCTCAAGCAGTACAAAGGTGTTTTCCGCAATCGTCACCAGCAAGTAATTTGAGGTTGCGCTCTACGTTACCGTCAGATCGGTAAGTCAACTACCTTGAATTAAACTGGCGCTCTATTCCGTAATCTGGCCAGTTAAAACTGCAGACGACGTAAAAGTCGAGAAAAAAGTGAAGATTTCATCACTGTTGACTGTCGTCTGCTGTTTTAACTGGCCAGATTACGGAATAGAGCGCCAGTTCAATTCAAGGTAGTTGACTTACCGACCTGACGGTAACGTAGAGCGCATCCTTAAATTTCTTGCTGGTGACTATTGCGGAAAACACCCCAAGACAAAGTCTAACAACTGTCCAACCCTAACAGGCTCCAGAATCGTCGCCATTATTTATCCCCAATGAATACAGTTTTTTCGCGCATTGTGTCGAAGGTAGGAAAGGAGAGTTTAGTGAAATTACATAAAACACTTAACTTGATTCGCGTTACTTTGACCTTGGGTGCAACCGTTCGAAATCTTCGGAGTACCCGTGTATGTGTGTGCATCACAAGTATCAACTAATTTTGACGTGCTTTGGTTGGGCACCCTCCCCCTCGCCCTCACTCTGGCTCGCACTGTAACACTCGCTTCCTTCTTGCTCTTCGACCTTCCTCGTGGATCATAGTGATAGCAAGGATTCCAAGAAAGACATCGGAAGGAAAAATCGTTTGCGGTGACGTGATCGAGTCTTGTGCGCGAAACGGACGACGAAAGTGACAAGGATATATTGGTATTGAACAGAGTGAAAGAGAGAGAGCAAAAGTACCGAAACAGGGACGAGCAGTGAGCGGAGAGAGAGAGTTGATGATTGGAATTCCAAGGGACGACAGACACAAAATCACGGTGAAAATACGCAACAACATGAAGCGAAGCTCGAGCCGGGACTCGCCGCCACCGCGAGTCAAACGCGGCCGATCGTCGCTTGGACGGTGAGTGTGTGTTTTCTGTGTGAGTGTTTTGGGTGTACAATGAAAATGGGAAAGAGAAAAAAACAGGAAGACAGCGGCCAGCAGTTACGTTTTACATTATTGTCTACGACTCTCCGGTGATTTGAATAAAATGAAAGAAAAACCAAATTAATTCTGCTCCTTCTTGCTTCTTTGTTCAGCTGTGTGTGGATGTGCGCAAAAGATTGGTTTTCGTTCCCCAAGTGCTGTGCCTCTCGGTCCAACTTATTCATCCTACGCAATTTGGTTATTATCGTTTGTCTGCTTGGGAAGTATATTTATTTTTTACGGAATATATTTTGATTTTTCATTACAATGCGAGTGCCGTGCGAGTGCGCGTCATTGTTTTAGTACACCCACTATATTTTTACTCGGGCGCGGACTCCATTTTGTGGAGATGCAAACGTGCAGGACGCTATACATGCTATATATTTCTTTCCTATAAATGGTCTTGCGCGCGTGACGTGTGCTATTCCTGTCTCTTTTATCCCTACACAGTAGCTTATCCTCTCTCTCTCTCTTCTCTTCCTCTTTTCTCATAAGATTGGACCAAACTTTCGGAACTTTCGAGAAAACTGGCATTTTATACAATGATTTTTTTTTCGTTGCTTGGAATAAATGTTTATTTAAATAGAAGCCCAGTAAAGTGATAAATACGTGTTGTCCCAAGAAGGAAGGTGCAAAATATAGTGTGCAAAGGAAAAAAGTGGAGTTCAAACAATACTTTTCAGTTTGTAAATTTCAGATTTAAAGTTGATTGATATCAAAATGTTGCAAGAAAAGGAATGTGTTAGTTTTTTTTTCAATTGTTTGTTCAAATTTGGTGACCCTGAGTGGTGGTTAAGATAGTTCTGTGGTTGGGAGAAATTAGTGCCTTGTTATTTAAGTGGTTTCTTGTAAAAGAATATACTGTTGACAAAAAAATTTAATTTGTTCATTGAGTGACATCACTTGACAATTTGTTGTCACCAGAGTTAGTCAAATGGAAAAGTTCATACATGTTGATTATCAAGCAACTAGTATGGTTTATGTGTTGAGTTCTTAAATTATCTTTCATTATGAAGTATGTATACAACAACCAATAATTTTTTCTAGTCAAAAAGCATTTACATATTTGTATATGAAAAATGTTTTCATTTTTTTTCATTAACAACAAATTCCTGTTTTTATTTAATAATATTAAAACTTTTGTTTGAAAGAACCTTTTTTTATAATTTGAGGCTTTCATACATGAAAAAAAAATACTGTATGTTCAGATTGTTATACCGTTTAGAGTTTTTTACTTTGTTCAATTTTCCATTAAAATATTAGCACAAGTATATGTTTTTTTACCTTTTATTTTATTTTATTGCAAGTAGTAAATTTTTTTTTTTTTTTTTTTTGTGGAACAATTTTTCACTTGTAAAAGTACTTTTATTGAAAACATTCCACGTAACATAACTTCTATTATACTATGCATGTACCAAAATTAATTAAATCAATACAGGAAACGTGTTAAAACAAAACACATGTGTCACCCAATACCTTTCAAACATCACTTTAGTCTTAAATCGCATTTCATTTCATTTTTCAATTTACTTGAAAAAGACACAAAGTAATGAAATAACATTTCTTGCACATCTCTAGATACGAGGACTCGAGCGACGAGCGCATGACGCCTGAACGACTGCGAAGACGTAGTCGAGGAGCTCGGAGCCCATCACCACCACCGCGCTCCCGCTACATCGAGTCCAGTTCGCACCGTGAGGAGTATCCCCGGCCACCCCGCGAGATCCCAGCCGAGCGGCCCTACTACAAGATCCTGCGTGTCAGTGGCATCCATCCCAAGGCCAGCGACGAGGCCATCAAAGATTCCATATACCGCGAATACAAGAAGTACGGCGAGTTCACCACCAGGATCGCCTTCGAGGCCGACGAGACCATCGCCTACGTGTGCTTCCGAAGCCACGAAGACGCTCGCGAGGCCAAGTACCAGAAGCCCCGAGTCCTCATCTACGATAAGCTCGCCATGGTCGAGTCGGTTTACGAGAGACCCGAGACTGCCTACGCTCGTCGTCCGCGCTCCATCACCCCGCCCGACTATGACCGATACTACGCCAGGTCGCCCGGCCCAACGGACAGACACGCCAGGCCCGTTGAGCGCGCCTACGATCGGGTCTATGGGCCACCCGTCGGCCTTCCACCCCGGGAACTTCGCCGGGAGCCCTTACCACCACCGCACCACGAGTTCGTCCGGCCCCCGCTTCACCACGGACCCCCGCACGTTCACCCGGGCCCACCCCACCACTACGGCCCCCCGAGACACATGATGGTGCGACATCCGGCCCACGGTTTCGAGCGCGTCGAGAACAAAAAGGACAAGTTCCCGAACTACCTGCACCACGTCTCGCCCGAGGACGATCCCCTGGCTACGCGCACCCTCTTCGCCGGCAACTTGGAGATCAACATAACCGAGGAGGAGTTGCGCCGGATTTTCAGCAAGTACGGCATCGTCGACGACATCGATATTAAGCGACCACCACCCGGGACCGGCAACGCGTACGCCTTCGTGCGCTTCCAGACCCTCGACATGGCCCACAGATGCAAGGTCGAGCTGTCCGGCCAGTACATTGGCAAGTTCCAGTGCAAGATCGGATACGGCAAGGCGACACCGACGACGCGCATCTGGGTGGGTGGACTCGGGCCGTGGACTTCAGTGGCCCAGCTCGAGCGCGAGTTCGACCGGTTCGGGGCCATCAAGAAGATCGACTACATAAAGGGCGACAGCAACGCTTACATACTCTACGACTCGATAGACGCAGCCCAGGCCGCCGTGAAGGAAATGCGGGGCTTCCCCCTCGGTGGCCCCGACAGACGGCTGCGCGTCGACTTTGCCGACGTGACGCCGAGCCTGGGCTTCAAGCCCCGGCCCTACCCCGAGGACGGTCCTGAGTTCCGCACTAGCAGACCCGTGGCGGCCGACTACGATGCCGCCTACGATCCTTACGGTCCCGACGGCGAGTTCGCCTACAGCAGCTCCAGAGGGTTCCGGGGCGGTGGCAGAGGCTCGTCCACTACCTGGCACGAGGGTCGCGGCGGTAACAGCCGCAGAGGAGGAGCCTATCGGGGCGGAGCATATCCGGAGGGCTATCCCAGGGAGGAGGCAGACTGGCCGAGCAGTCGGCGGCCACCACCGGAGGTCGACGCTTACGACGCTCCGAGGGCCGTGAGGCGGTCGCTATCGCGCGAGCCGGGGGTCGACAGGTCGCGCTCGCGATCACCCAGGAGGCGGCCGGTCGATTCCGACTCGGACTCGGAGAACGCTCGCAGTGGGATGCTCAGTAGTTCGCGCACCTTCTCCGACGTGGCGCGCAAGTCCCTGACTTCGTGGTCTGGGGCCCTCATACTCAAGAATTCGCTATTCCCAGCCAAGTTCCATCTGACGGATGGTGACGCCGAGATTACCGATACTCTCATGAAGGACGAGGAGGGCAAGCCGATGCTGCGCATAACCCAGCGGCTGCGACTCGATCAGCCCAAGCTGGACGACGTGTCCAAGCGTATACAGACCTCGAGCGCGCACGCGATATTCCTGGGACTGGCAGGCTCGAGCAACGCTGTGTCGAACGACGACGCTAACGTACAGACCCGACCGCTGAGGAACTTGGTGTCGTATCTCAAGCAGAAAGAGGCAGCGGGTGTGATATCGTTGGTCAACAAGGACACGGAGGGTACTGGGGTACTCTACGCCTTTCCACCTTGCGCTTTTTCCACGGAGTTGCTCAAGCGCACCTGTCCGAGCCTCAGCGAGGAGGGTCTCAAAGAAGATCACCTGGTCATCGTTGTTGTTAAGGGTGGTAGCGCTTAAGCTCGCGATAAAAGTTGCTCGTTTTTTTCCCCAAATGTAATCTACATATTATTTGTATACGTGTATACATATATAAACGCGACATCGTTCGTTATGTAGATAATGAAAAGTCATAAGGCTGCGCGAACTTCGAGATTAAGAATTATTTTTCACACGACGGACAAAGAAAAGGATTTATTTTACAATGAAATTGAGTTTATTTGAAAAAGACGGGCGAGTCGAATCGTGTCGAAGTGAAACGTATGCCAATTCTAATGACTAGATTTTGAAAAAGACTTGATTTACATTATTTTTGGATAATTTGCTAATTGACGCTCGAAAGACATCCAATGTTAAAACTAATGTTAATACTACCGGTGTGACGTGTTAAAAAAATGATTAACAATAACTCTAATGGATACCATATCATAAGCTCAATTATGATATCATGATTAATAGATTATGCTGATTTGATGATTTTAAGTGCGATTTGAGATGCCCAAGCCAACATTTCAAACAAGTTCATTTTGTTTTGATTTAAATCTCATTTAATAGAAATATCAATCGCGAATGATTTGTACATTTATTTTTCTAGAAATATGTTATTAATAAGTATATAAAAGATTTTTAAGCAAAAACTACACTTTAAGCTTGACACACTTCAAATTCATCGAGATTGTGAAAAACAATATTATCGTAATCTGCAATTAGATTCTGTTGATGATGTTTTTTCATTCGAGATAAAATATGAATTGCTTCAATGAGTCTTAGTTTTTGATAATTACAAACTTGGTTTTTCCATTATTTACAACAATGATGGAATGAAGATGAAAATTTGTTTTAAAATTAAAAGTATTACACTAGTTGAATCAAAGTATCACGTGTTCAATTAAAAAAAAAAAAATAGTGGTTTTGTGCTTGCATTTAGAAAAAAAATCATTTGAATTTAACAGTCAGAATTGGTAAAATGGTTGAAAAAAAAAGTAGCAAGAGTGATCAGACGACGCATACTCACAATAGAGATGTATAAACTAGAAATATTAATGCAAAAGTTGAAAAAAATTATCCATCAACAGGTTCTATAAATATCGCTCACCTTAATAATCATCATAATTTTAATTTGCATATTATTAAATTTGCAATAATTATCTAATTATTCTCATGTAATAATTTATTTTTAGTATTTTATATGTGAATTAATTGCACTAACTCGACCTGCAGTTTAACGTTCTGTTAAATGTTTCTTTAAACATGTAAGATACTCTAACATCTAAAAAAGTCATAAAGAATTTGAAGCAATAAAATATTGCGATCTGATATTTGTATAAGGTTTTAGAAAAAAAGTGTGTGAAAGACCTGGGTTAATGATTGTGTTAAAGACCTAAGCGATTTTGCGATATTTTTCTATTTCTTAATTTAATATTTAATTTTAAACAAAATAATGACAAATATGTATAATAAGTAAGTTAGTTAAGATAACAAACTTATGTAATCTTCAGCAGACAGTTAGAACTGTTGAAAAAAATTTATATTACCAGGATATTTTTTTCAGGTGTGATAGTTGTGGTTCAGTGAAAAGAACAAAATGGACAGTGTTTTTTAGGGGGAAAGAATCGAAAAAATTTTAATCCTGAAAAATTGTGTACAGTGATGTAGAAAAAAAAAAAAAAGAAAAAAAAAAAAAAAAAAAAANATCACCCTGTTGTATATAAGTCAAGTCATCATTCGTAAAATTTTTTTTATGTTTTATTAAAATTTTTACGCTTATTAAACATTTATATTTGTTATCATTCAATCAACTGGGATAAACTAGTTTACACTTAAAAATCGAGAAGGTAAAGACATGTAAAAATAAAAAAATAAGCTTATTCAACATACGTATGGTTGGCAAGCATTTTGATATTTCAAACCATAAAATACTTGTTTTTTTTTTTTTAAGTAATATTTACTTTAAATAAGTAATTACATGTTTAGAAACAATGGATTTTATAATGATTTTTTTTTTCTCTGAATGAAAAAAAATCTACCAAAATCACGGTTGAGAGCTTATTTTAACAACAAAATACTTTGACTCTGTTATATTTTACATTATAATTTTTCAAACTCGATAACACCAATACAGATCCCATGAACAATTAGACTAAAAACTCGCATTATAAATTTTCTCGCATAAAAATTGCGTGTACAGAAACGCAAGTTTGAATTGGAGCTACTTGATTCTTCAAATTCCGCAAAGACATTTATTAAATCCATAAAGGCTATTGATGTATAAAATTGTGCTCGGCCACTATAACAGGATCAGTCGATAAAAGACGAAACAAATTTTTTCCATCCCAAGGACTCCTAACTGGAGTTTTTTTTTTTTTTCTTCGTACACCCATATTCCTTCACCGGTCGAAAGAATGCCCCAACTTTCGTTGACCACACTCCGATGGCCGTACGCTCGAACAAAAAAAAAAAAAAAAAAAAAAAAAAAAAAAAAAAAAAAAAAAAAAAAAAAAAAAAAGAAAAAAAAAAAGTGATTGTGTCCTCGTTTCTGAGTACTTAGCAGCTTCTTGAATCTCTGTACTGCCTAATTCTTGTAAACTAATAGAAGAGATGCATGGAAGTTTCTGCCAAAATTGTGCTCAGTTGCGAATTATGAAGGTGCAGTGTTTATAGAGTGTACCTCTGGTGATCTGGAGAAAAGAAATGAAATAGATGCCGTTTTGCAGATAAAAATAAATTCATGTGTTTTTTTTTTACAATACTCATCACCTGCAGAAAGTTTAAAGTTTGAGGTTCTGTTTAGTTGAATGATATTTTTGCCGAGATTCAAATTTTATGAAAAATAAGCAACAAATTGGTTTCCTCTACTGAAAAATTTTACTCTGTTAAAATTCAGTTCTTTCAGTTCAGTGATATCAAACGTGCTGTGATAAGTAGTTTTTTCAGCTGTTATAAGTACTGAAATTTTTTCTAGTATTCCATTAGTGCCAGTGGCTTTGCAAATGTTGAAATAATTTTTTTTTTCTTTTCTTGAATAAAATTGAATTTCTGAGTGGTTTTAAAGTTATGTGATTTGTGTTTCTTGTTTCAACCAGTGTCACATTAGTTAAATGTTCATGTATAAATTTTTAAGTTCTTGCAGACCCATTTTTATAATCAAAATAGAAATATACTCAAACAAGATAACATTTTTTATGTTAATTAACGATTATTGTTCAATGACTGGTACATTGAAATAAAGTAAATTATTTTGAGACAGCTGTGATAGTGAGGTTTGCAGTGACACTTGGTTTTTCAGTTATAAGTGTCATTAGTTGGTTGCTGAGCTAATTCTGTGGAATCCATGGGCCTTTTGCAGTACTTGTGATCTGTCATACTTCTACAATGGTCTTGCTTGGTTGGTAGGTCCAGATGGTAAGTTGTGCTGTAAATACTCGTTTTTTTTGTTTCAGGTGGCAGTCAAGCTAAATCCAAAGGCTTTTCTGCTTTGCTTCAAATTTTGAATTTCAAAATTTTTGTAAAAAATATACCTCAATATAAATACAAAAAAAAAAAAAATATTTTTTGTATTTTCTATTTATTTTCCTCTATTTCCTTTCCCCAAACTAATAAAGATTATTTTACTGTTGACATCGTGTAGTCAAAAAATGTCTGAAAAGAGCATATGTATATACAGTTCACGCCAAAATTCACAGAAAGATCTAGATCATAAAAAGTTACTTCGTAGTTATAAGTTATTTCATTTTTACAATTAAATTAAAAATTCAAGATAATTTTTTTAATCAATGCAATATAAACACACACTCATTAAAGCATTAAGGTGCATTTTCATTAAAGTTTTCGAAGGTTTGAGCTGAGATCATACTTTTGTCGTTCACATGTGGTGCCACCCTAAAAGTGCCTTAAATAAAGTTCGAAGCAAACAGTCGATAACCAAAACATTGTTTTTTACGTTACATGGGATTGTAAACAAATAATTAACTGTAAGTGGATAAAAATTATTTTGTTAGAAAGATAGGTATGTCTAGCCGTTCTCGCAAATGCCCATTCGTGTATGATAAAGTACATAAATTTTAACCTCAAAAAACCAACAGTGTATTGCATTATTAGAAACATCTATTTGATTAGTTTTTTTTTTTTTTTTTTTTAATTACTTATCAATATTGTACTACATAAAATGATTATTTTGCACATAAAATATTCTCAGATGAGCCTTGGGCTTAGAATTTTCGGGCAACTGTGCAGGCAGCCTCTGCTACGCTTATACAGTACAAAACTACCAACAGAGCTTGTAGTATTTCAAGATAAGGACATGATAATCTGCTGGCATCCTGAGCAGCCCTTTCCCTACGAATACTCAAAACCTATACCTATCAAGGAACCAGAGCCAGAAAGCGTATTGAAGGTAGGAGAGAAAGAAGTAAAAGCATTGTTCAGGAAGCCCAGAGAACAGTTAGTTCCTGAAGAACTTGCCAGGATAACGTATACTTGCAAGCATGCATGGTATCCCCGAGCAAGAGATAAAAAATCTAAGAATACAGAACCAGATAGACCATACATGTAAGAAGGTTTGTATGAAAACTGTTAGGATTTTTTAAATTATCTACAAATTGTATTAAAGTACCAAAAAGTTGTTTTCAATAAATTTTTTCAATCTGTCATTCTAAGTTATATTCATTTTGTTTCATATTCTCATTTATCTTATTCTTTGAGACAATAATGGAGTGCATAAAACATTGTTTCCTCATAAGTTTTTTTTTTCACTATCAATTGAATTATGGCATTCTACTCAATGTAATGAAATTTTGATAATCCATGCTTAAAAGTAAGCTTTAAGTACTTGAAAGTCAATCAATATCATGTCAGTAAGTGTATGAAATATGTTATAAAACTAAGGTTTTTTTTGTAATAAATAACTTTTTTTGGCTATCAGAGATGTTTTTCTGATAAGATCCTAGTTAATGCTTTGCCAGAAAAATAAAATAAAAATTTTACATCTTCTCAAATGATTTTTAATAAAAATTTAAAAACTGTTTTGTTATTCAAAGCATTTATTAATACATAATTGCTGGAAAAAGTTCAGCACAAAAATGCGTGTTGTATATAATGGAGACTTGGAGTCCTTCCATGGAGAACTACATTTGTTGTGGATCGTAAATGTGATGTCTGATACTCTGATGTACTATATAGATGTCATATACGTACACACACACACACATATATACATATATATATATACATATCCTAAGAGTTTCCTTACTTACTAATCGATAGCATTATTATAGTTGATACAATTTTCTTAAATTTAGGCATGATTTAACTTTCGGTATGCAAATAATCTGTCATTTTCGACTCTTCTTTTGACTAAAGAACATCACTAAAAAATGCGATCGGTAAGTTAAGGAACCTCTAGAATGTTATTTAAAATATTTTAAATTCAAGGTGGATTCTACCCATTAATGCTACTGAGTGGACGGAAAAAAAAGTTTTTTTAGCCCACAACAATTAAAAAAAACTTTTTTTTCGATTATTTATTTAACTGTTCACAACTGCTTAAAAGTTATGAAATTTAAATGTATTGCAGAGATATCGAACGCGTCACGTTAATTTTAATAATTCATTTTCTCAAAAAATTTCACTGTAAATTATGGCCCTCATCAGGTAATATTACAACACCAATAGTATCGTGACCACAGTGTTGTCACTATACGTCGATGTAACTTTGAACGATGAATTTGAAATAGCTTACACTGAAATGGCCAAAACGTTGTAACATAATTTTAAAAAATTTCGATACAGTGACCACAAGAAACTTTTTTATTTATTTTCATTTCAATAGTATTAAAAATGTTGAGCAAGAAGTAATTTATTATTGACGCTTTTCAACGCGTTTGCATCCGAGTAAATTTTACACGTTGAAGAGTGTAATTTTTTATCACGTGTGTTAAAAACAGGCTGTTGCAAACCGTTGAAGGTGCGTTAATAATTAATTATTCACTAAAAAACTAAGTTGAAAAATGAAAATTTAACACACCCAAACTTGTTCAAAGTGTTATAAATTAATATGCGAGAACCGGGTTAAAAAAAAAAGGTTAAACAATAATCTACTCAAAAAGCTTGCAAAAAGCTTCTCTTCCAAACAATTTTTGAAAGTTTTATTCTTCAAACGATTTTATGTGTCATGATTAAAGAAAACTCTAAAAAATAACCAAACGTTCATAAACCAGTTGTGTTAAATTGTTTTAAAAAAGTTTTTTTTTTTCGTGTGCAGGTATAAAATACATGTAAACAATCAAACGTCACGATTTACGCGTTCATTTAGACTCCTGCAAGTACTTTTGTTGTTAACGTTTTTTTAGGGTGCAATCACTCCTAAAGCAGTTCATTTTGCTCGTGTTAGTAGTTAAACGTTTTGCTCTGCTCAAACGAGACAACAAAAACAAAAAAAATCAACAAATATCAATTGTCAGTAAAAAAACGTTTATAAAACAAAACGTTTTCTAAAAAATTCATGCTCACAGTGGTTCATTCATTTCAAGTACGACTTTTTTTTTCAATTCCATTTTAGGACTTTTTGTTTGTTTTAATTCTCATTCTGCAGAGAAAAGATTTGCGCTTTATACCCATGATGGAACCACACCGCTATACTGGTGTGACATGAAAAAAAATGTATATACCTGTAAATATGTATTTTATTAAAATTTAAATTGCTTGTGCGGATTAAACTTTTTCGTAATCAATAGGTGAACGGAAAAATCAGACGATTCAACAATACCTAAAATATATCGACGCGTGACCACCCACCCTTTCCCAAAAAAAAAAAAATGGACCAACATAAAAATATCTCCTTCTCCATCTCCCCCTATATGTATAATATGATATATTATTATGTTAAACGCGGGGAATCTGTGTTAAATTCGGTGACGTGTCCGTTATAGCCTTTGGAGAGGGTCACTTGTTCCGTTGCTCTCTTTCGGATTGCGCTCTGTTGTGTCGTTATATCCCCTACCTGTATACACATTTTACAGTCCCTCTCTCTCGTTCGCTTTACCCAGCAAGTCCACGCGGTACAACACATACCACCACCAGGTGAGTGACTCTTTCTCTCTCACTTGTTGCTTTTACCGTTTCATCCTCCTCTTCCTTCTGCTTCGTTTCAGGTGTATACGTACCTATGTACATATGCGTATAACACAGGAAAGAAGAAGAGGCAGGCAAGCAAGCAAGGAGTGTGTATATATACGTCCCTCTCCAAAGGCCCCTTTTTCCTCCTTCTCCTCCCCCTCCGGTGTACCAACTATACGCGCAGCCTTATCCGCCTGTGCCTACCTGGCCGATTGATAGGATACGAATCGGCAGTAGAGCGTCGTCGAGGAGTAGCCACAGTCGACGCGCGAGAGAAACGGTCCCCCTTTTTTCCGGAGGACTCGAATCCGGCACCTCCGCCAAACAGTATAATCCTCCCTGCTTTTTTTTTTTTTTTTTTTTTTTTTTTTAAATTTAAATTTAAATTTTTCATTCACGAATCCTGAGTGCTTCCTCTACGTGTATGCATCGGTAGGGTATTCGCTGTCGAGCCGAGTTCAAGGACCGAGGGACGTTGCACGTATTTTGGACCAAAAACATAAGGACACCGAGGGAGCTTGCGCCGCGGCAACAGGTAGGTTCACTGAACCCTTTTTGGCTCGACCTCAACGGAATATATATATATATGTATATACGCCCGATCGCCTTCTTCTCTTCTCTTGCATTGTGGTTTTTTTTTTTTTTCGGATTTCAATGTACAAGTACTTATCATAAAGGGGGGCAAAAAAACAACAACAAATGCACCCACATCGTTGTTTGTACGTGTAACGTTATGAGTGTGCACAATGAGATACGCGGTGGAGAGAGAGAGAGAGAGAGAGCCGTTAAGCCCGTATGTATTGGCATATGGGTCGTTTCGCGAAAATTTAGTTGTTTCGTGTCTTGGGCCTTTGAAACGACCCGATTTTTACGTTAAATATTTTTGAAAAGTTTTTGTTCCCCCCTCACGTATACATTTCGAGGTGAATTCGTTGTTATTTTGGCGTGAAATGGAAAAATAAAAGGCTTAAGTAATAGGTGTCACACTGTTGTCGTTTTTTTTTTTTTTTTTTTTTTTTTTTTTTTTTTTTTTTTTTAATTACTTATCAATATTGTACTACATAAAATGATTATTTTGCACATAAAATATTCTCAGATGAGCCTTGGGCTTAGAATTTTCGGGCAACTGTGCAGGCAGCCTCTGCTACGCTTATACAGTACAAAACTACCAACAGAGCTTGTAGTATTTCAAGATAAGGACATGATAATCTGCTGGCATCCTGAGCAGCCCTTTCCCTACGAATACTCAAAACCTATACCTATCAAGGAACCAGAGCCAGAAAGCGTATTGAAGGTAGGAGAGAAAGAAGTAAAAGCATTGTTCAGGAAGCCCAGAGAACAGTTAGTTCCTGAAGAACTTGCCAGGATANAAAAAAAAAAAATCTGTGTCCAAGTTTGTGAACCTTATAACTGAACATTGTATCAGGTATTTCCCGTGCTGAGCACAAAGGATTGTTGAGTAAATTATAAAACTTTACAGACAAATGGTGCAAATGCACATATTGAACTTAATATTTATTGTCTTATCAAGTCATCCATTGGGATAAGCGTAATCATTCAAAAAAAGGATATTCGTTAATTGTGTGCAGTATGTTTGGGGTGCTTTCTTTTGCAAAGTAAATTTTGAATTTTTTTTTTTTTATTCACGAATTATACTGTATCAAGGATTATTGGAGTTTTTTTCATTATTATTAACGTTATACGAAAAACACAAAAAAAAATTAACTTTATACGTAGATCAGTTTTGCACGTTAGAACGTTATATTATTATTATTTTTTACAATTGTATCGTGGTACTCTTATAAGTCCTCTCTGTGTTGCTGTATACACTTATTTTTTATTATTTTTTGGGGATCGATATTTCGTATCTGAACCATCAGTTTATGAATTAATTTAACCATAATTCGGATGTAGGCTTGAAAATAAAACTGTTCGTTTGCAATAATCGGTAACACGAAAATTATACGAAAAATCAAGTTTTCCATGTCAGTATAAGATGCAAGATACGCCTTTTTTTCTTCATTGTTTGCCTTATTGAAATACATTTGAAAAAAACAAACGGTTTCAGATAATTAAATTTTATTTTTATTAATTAACAGTTGCAGCAAGAGCTGGTCATAGTTTTTTCGATCCCTTTTTTTTAATTGTTTTACCGTGACAAGTACTGTAACTGTAATAATTTTTTAATCCAGCTGCGGTTATACATGGCATTTTTCAGCACAAAAAACTTTATCGCGTCAAGCCCATTAAAAAATTTACGTCCACTGTAACGCATGGCAGCAGCAATTTGTTTAACGAGCAAGGCATACTTTTCCTTTAATGATATTATTTATATTTTTGCCGTGGGGCCATTCAAATTAGTGACAGAACATTATTTATTCTTATTTGCATTATGGAGAAACGATAAAGCGTGCCCACAAATATGTACGTGTGATTTTCAGAGCGTAATATAATGGCTTAACCGTATGACGATGTCATGACGTAGAATAATGTATTATATGGGTATATGTTATATACTTAACTGTAGAATTTTTCAATGTGTGTCATTTTGGATTTTTTAATTATTTTTTTATTTTTCAAGAACTGATGAGATGATGAAAGTGTACTAAACAAAATGCACCATTTTGTATTAAATAAATAATTGATACCTTGAAATTTTTTAAATCATTAAAAAAAAAAAATATCGCTTTTTTGTCGTGCAGTGAAATGTAGTCAAATGAGTGAATCATTCTATTACAACGTGAAAAATATAATTATTCAATTTCATGCTACATATGCAGAAAATTGCATTTTTCGTTAGAGACGTCAAAGTAAAAAAAATAATTGTTATATAAAAAATAAAGATGCCAATGTAGATATCGCCTACTTGTTTCAGATGTTTAAAAAAAAAGAAAAGAAAAAAACAACAACAAATGTCACGAGTGGTAAAAACGTAGATAATATCACATATAATTACTCCATGTATAATTTGAATTGCCTTGTGTACAGGTGTATTCTTATTAACATTTTTTTTTCTTTAGTTTTAATACGATAAAAAAAATAGAACAGTTTTACCATCACAACACGCAACATTGCATATTTACAAGATTTGACATTCCATTAAACCTCGTGAAATGGAAATTTTTCAGCGATGAAATAAATAAAATGGAAAACATATAATAATCATCAGTATATGCATGGGTATAGTAAATAGGAAAAATTCGAAGGAGGAAGCGCATACCTTATGGTAATAAAGCTACGTGCAGTTGTATATTTATACAATATGTGCTGTGTCGTCATTCTTTGCTCACCAGCAATTACGTCAAGGTCTGCCGGCTATCGGAGGCTCGCGATAAGGGTTGGTGCAGTTTGCTTAGTTTGTCTTTTTTTTTTTTTCTGCGTTACCTATTAATGTTCCGTGCTGGTCTATGACCGCAAATTACATTTACACACGTCGCTCTGGAGCTCATTTTGACGGTTTCTTTTTATCAGTTTTAACTTTATCTTTCTTTTTCGCTGGTAATTTTGACATTGCTGGCGTTTCCTTGTATTTTTAAACAATTTAATTTAATTTTTTTTTGTCAGGAATCAGTAGTCAACCAAAAGATCTTGTTTGCTCTTACTAACACGATACTTCTTTAAGTTATACATTTGTAGGCACGTTCTGCACTACAGAATGAATCAATGACTTCAGATTAGTGACCTTGAAAAAAAGTGTAATGAAAGTGGGTTTTGTTCGATTGCTCTTCGCCCAACTCCCCTTGACGTTCTTGCAGTCTCCTGCACATCACACCACACCACACATTATTCGAACTTTCTGAGTTTGTTTTTCTTTCAACCAAATCCAAAAAAAAAAAAAAAATAAATAAATAAATAAAGA